TCTTTTCTGTTATGTTATTCAATCCTTTTTAAAGTTGTCAAAACTTTCCTGAAGTGATTCAACATATTCCAAATCCAATCTTGAATGAATTGGTTTCGCATTTTCTGAAGTGAGGCAACATTAGCTGATTAATCCTTTTCCGAAATGAATCCAAGGTTTCCTGCATTAATTCAACTTTTTCCGAACTGAAACCAAACTAGTCAGAACGGGTTTGATATTTTCCTAAGTGAGCTCCAGATTTTTGTTAACTGCTTTGGCGTTTGGCAAGGACACAATCTTGCAATCTTTTGAGCTTAAATTTTCCAAATGGTGTCCAACCTTTTCTGAAGTGGTTCAAAACCTTCCTTAGGGAGTCCAAACTTTTCTGTTGAGTGATTAAATTATATTGAATGTTAGTCTGAGTTTTCCTGAAGTGATTTACCTCACTTTTAACGTAGATTCCTTCCTCGTTCTTGTGCGATTCACATCCTTTGAAAATTAGGCTGAGATTTTAAAGAATGGACCTTCGTGTGTTCATAACTGATGGTAGATTTTTTTTAAAGCAAGCACAATTGTTGAGAAAACTGGGGTTACATCCACAAAAGTACGTATTTTTATAGAAATTTGGGTTTCTTGATCAGCCACGTTGGATTTTGGCTCCGTCCTTTGAAAAACAAGCTTGGATGTTATGGAATAGATCTTTGTGAGTTCATACGTGATGGTAGATTTTTTTAAAGCTAGGTTGGATTTCGGTTCAATCTTTTGGAATTTGTGCTTGGATTTTATAGAATGGAACTTGCTGAATACCAGAAGGATGAACCTGGTTAATATTCACAAAAGAAGGTATTTTTATAGAAAATTTTATTATTGTTTTCCGAACTGAATTTTGGCTTCTATCGTTGCAAAATATGCTTGTATTTTAATAGAAGTTGCTGAATCCATACGTGAGGGTTGAATTTCTTCAACTTTTGAGAATACCAAGTTTAAATTCACAAAAGTACGTATTTTCATAAAAACTTTGATTTTCTGTTTTGCCAAGTTGAATTTTGGCTCCCATATTTGAAAATAGATTTGAATTTTATAGAATGGACTTTACTGAATCCGTAGAATGGACTTTACTGAATTACGTGATGGTAAATTTTTTGAAGCATGCACAATTTTTTAGATCATTGGGTTTGAATTCTCAAAAGTACGTATTTTTTTAGAAATTTGGGTTTCTTGTTCAGCCAAGTTGAATTTCGGCTCCTTCCTTTGAAAAATAAGAATGGATTTTACCGAATTGCTGAATCCATCCGTATTTTCATAGAAATTTGGTTTTTCGGTTCTGCCAAATTGCATTTAGGCTCATATCTTTTAAAAATAGGCTTGTATTTTTTAGAATGGACCTTGCTGTATCCATACGTGAAGGTTAAACCGGGTTTGTAATTCGAAAAGGTTTTTTTTTGTTTTCCTTTTCTGCTAGTTGGATTTTGATACTGTCCTTTGAAAGTTATGCATAGATTTTATAGAACTGACCTTGCTGAATTCATATGTGATGATTATTTTTTTAAGCACACCCAAAGTCAGGTTTAAATTGATAAAACTACGTATTTTTGTTAAAATTTGGTTTTTATGTTCAGCCAAGATGGATTTTGGCTTCTTTCTTTGAATATTACGCTTGTATTTTGTTGAATAGACCTTCCTAAATCCATACGTCTAGTTAGATTTTTTGAAGCCCGAACAATTGTTGAGAAAACTGAGTTGTATTTGGATAGGGAAGAAGTACCGAAAACAGAAGGTTTTTTTAATAAGAACTGTTACGTTTGTGGTATTCCGCTTGATGGTTTATCCGGAATTTATCAATACCCAAAAATCAATTGCTTTGATCCTATTCATCTACATTATTACCAATGTTCTTCTTGAAAGGATACAAAAACTTATGCGCGAAATGTCTTGTTGATAACTCGACTGTCACACATAATAAAGTCAACATTTGTGGCATTAGTGTCAAAAATCACGGCTTCAAAGAAGTATAAGGCTAAAGCGGAGGCTCAGAAAAAATGTTAGCGTTTAAATATACGGTTCAGATAAAATGTAAAACGAATTTTAAATGTTTTATTTTTTTTTTGGGTTTATTTCATATCCAATGCCAATAATTATTTTTTTTTAATATCGTGTGAAATCTTTTTTTTTTTAATTTGCTTGATTTGTTTTCCGTCGATCTTATTTTCCGTGCTGAGCACCAATGCTGCCGACGCCACACCACACCTGGACCCTACCTATCAACCCATCAACTCATGAACGAGGGACCAACGGCTTTACTTCCCCCCCGAAGAAAGGCGTGATCAGAGATGTTATGCCTCAAAACACCCCCGCGGTGCCGACTGGGAATGAACCCAGGCCTGCTGGGGTGAGAGGTAATCATGCTTACCGCTACACCACCGGTGCCGCTCGTGTGAAATCTTACAATGTAATTTTTTTTAAAAGATAATGTTTATTTAGTTCGTGCGATTAAATAAAATACTCAAAATAGTCCCTCCCCATGGACATGGAGGTTGACGGTACTGAAGCAAAGGGTTATGTTTATTTTCTTTATATTTGCAACGATGATGATTTCCTATAGTGACACATATCATCTTCTTAATGCTTCAGTATGCCTCAAACGATTAATTCTTGGTTGTTAATAGAACTTCCTTGATGAAATCGGCTGCTTCATGCAGACTGAGCAATTCTGATTATAGTATCAGATTTGTTCTGTATACAGAGGAACTGGGAGGGCTTATTAGAAACTTCTCACCAATCTTCTAGTAAATTTTGCATATAATTTATTAATATTTTATTTTATTTAAGCATATTATTTTTGTTACAGTCAATTAGCATTAGCATACAATAAAAGAGATTTAATATTACTTGCTCGTTTTTGCGTAAAATAATCAAAATTTATTTGACTTGTAATAACCTTTGAAAGTTTTTTTCATGTTTTTTTTGTGATCTGAAAATTTACCCAGTTTGGTTAGAAGTTTTGAAGCTAACGCATGTCCACAGGCCTAACAGAAAGATAGGCAGAAAAAGTGTATCATAAAGAATGATTGCATACAGGGTTGCTTCCACTCACTTGCTATAGATGAGTGATTTTCGGAGTTTTGAATTCGTTAGATGTTGTAATGGAGATTTGTGTTGTTGGATGCAGGAGGATATTGAAGGGTGGGTGTTTGACTTATAGAGCCTGTCAATTTCGCTTTCAGAGTGTCGCAGTCAGCGGTTTTATGATTCGTGAGCGCTCGCGATTCGTAGAATCGTTGATTGCGACTGCAAGTGGATTTGGCGGGTTTTGTGTGTCGGACGCTTGCTTTTTGGCCTCTTTTTGTGTCTAACATGTGCAGAGTTTCATTATAGCGTCTAATGGTTTTGAGATTCCTGGTTGCGTGAAATATCTTTGTGAGAATATCTTTTTGAGATTTTAGTAGTCACGTTTTGTTTGAAGTTTATATTTTATATCTTTCATGTAATTATCTTAAATAATAGTTATTCAATAATAGATATTTTATCCATATATTCGTACTTTGATGCGAAGCGCTCTGGATTATGAGATGCTCGATGACCCTGGAGGGATCGATTTTGCTTACTGAGCAGAAAATCATGGATTTAACCCCAAGCTCTTCCACAGCACAATAAATCGCCACCATCATTTTTATATTTGATATTGAACATTAACCTCGGAAACTATTTGCATATCAGGCGAAAACGTAGTCCTGTATTTTTGCGAAGCGTTATGGTTCTGAGATGCTCGATGACCCTGGAGGGATCGTTTTTGCTTACTGAGCAGAAAATCATGGGTTTAATCCCAAGCTCTCCGTCATGACTCTTAAAATTCATGATCACTAAACAAAATGAATATGTTCTTTCGATAGCCGGCTATCGAGAGATTAAATAAACAGTAAATAAACAATACATACTTTTGGTTGCATCGCCAACTTGAGGTGAATCCTAACCGAATACCCTACCCAACCCTCCAACTCCCTCCAACTACTTATGAGGGTGTCGCTAAGTCGGTGGCCTCTCGTTAAGTAAGTACTACATCAACATTTCCTTCCCTATCCCTAGTTATGGTAAAGATGGGCGTGGCCGGGAATAGCGACAGTCATGCTTCTGTTACTCTTGTTTAGATTGGAACCAATGTTTACTCCTCAGCATTATTCCTGAAAGTAGTCTAACTGAGAATTTCAGAAGAGACGTGAGTGTCGCTAGTATCCAATCTACGAAGTATATCATAACAACGCTAACGCTAACGCTAACGCTAAATAAAATACTCAAAATAGTTTAAAACATAATCTTCTAGACACAACATTAAAGCGAGCTCACCTACATCGATTCTATTATAAATATTCGCATTTACAAACTTGATGTTCCTAATGGACAAAAAAATATATAATTTCTTATCGCTGTTCTCATGTTACCCAAGATTTTCCGTAAAAGATCGTCCAAGCTAAGCCTCTGCCAGCCGCCTCAGTACTGACTGATACGAAAAAATCAAAAACATAAATTCTAGCGATATTGCCTTATCTTGTACAATCCATGCACTAAAGTGGTTCCATGGTAAAGTGAACATAAACACCAGTCAGATGAAAGCATTGTTATTTTGAACTAATAAAACGGTGGACGATGAAGGTGTGGTTGATAATTCGGGGTCCGGAAAAACTCCAAAATCACGATGAATATTTTATTTTAATTTGCTATTTGAGTTAAATTGTCAACCGTCACCGTCGGTATATCATCAATTCCCTCTGTAGTATTCAAGGTCATTGGACGTCGCTCAAAAACCACATTACATAGTCAACCTAATGTTACGGCTTCCAGATATTGCTACTTCTAATGAATCTCAATTCATGAACACACACATTGCTAAATTTAATAATGACTGATAAGATAACGCGGTTGATATCACAGTTCATGGTTTATTTTTGCTATCACATTTTTCTTATCACTGCACAATTTCAATAAATTCATAAAAATCGACGTTCTCGTTTGACAGGTTTTACAAATCGCTTACTTCTAAACGTCGGTGCACAGCGAGCGTGTGAGTTACTTTCGCTGAATAATCCACAAAATCATCCGTTGGAACAATGATCTCCCTAAGATCGATGGCCCCTGAGCTAGCCGAAAAGGCAAAGGCCGAAGTCAACGAAGTGCCAGCACGCATTCCGGAAGATCTGGCAACGCTAAGGGCGTGGCTTTCGAAGCAACCACATCTCAACCCTCGCACCGACGACCAGTTTCTGGTGAGTTTCCTCCGTGGGTGTAAGTACAGCTTGGAGAAAACCAAAGAAAAATTGGACAACTACTATACTGTGAAGTCAGCGATACCGGAGTTTTTTGAGAATCGTGATCCAACGAATGCAAAAATTCAGGAAAATGCAATGCTTGGGTAAGTAGTGTGTTTTGCAATGCTGTTCGCATCGCTGTGCTACAGAATGTGGGCTGTCTGGAATAGTATGCAAAATAGAATAACTTTGCTACAATCGACTCCATTTGACATCATTCTGTTTGATTTTACCCACAGTGTAAACCTTCCGCTTCCACACACAATGGGACCAGATGGACCACGAATTGTGCTGGTGCGAATGGGAGCGTATGACCCTAGCAAATATTCAATCGTAGACATAATGAAGGTGTGCTACATGATCACCGATCTGCTGTTACTAAATGACGACACATCCATCATTGCTGGTCACATGGTGCTTGTTGATCTCCGAGGACTTTCATTATCCGGATTGTCCCAATTCAGTCCGACGTTTATCAAGTAAGTTTGCTTATATCATCGTAAGGGTACCAAAATCGTAAATTTGTGTTTTCTTTTTAGAAAAATGACATCAGTCATTGAAGCGTTTCCGATCCGTACAAAAGGAATCCACTTTGTGAATCCATCTACCGGGTTCGACACTCTTTTTAAAATGTTCCATGGCTTTTTGAGTAAAAAAATTCAGGAACGTATTGCTGTACACGAAACATTTGAAGCGCTACACAAAGTAATTCCGAAGATGTACCTCCCGGAAGAGTACGGCGGTAGCGGAGGAAAGCTGGATACAATTATCACGGATTGTAAAGACAATTTGGTGGCGCATCGCCAAACCTTCCTCGAAGATGCCAAATACCGTAACGACGAAAGGAAACGACCGGGTAAACCGAAAACAGCTAGCACGCTGTTTGGCGTGGATGGTTCCTTCAGAAGCTTAGAATTTGATTGATGTTATCTTGTTATTTATGGCTAATTAGTTGAGTTGATTTTGGAGCGATTGTCTGTATTAATTGTTCACTGAAAAACAGATTATGTATTTTTATTGAAAAGAATGATAATGTCACTATGAGCTACAGTTTCAGTGTTTATGAGAAATTCACCTGGATTGATTTCCGCCACTAGATTCATATGCAGAATTCTTCACAAATGGGGCTGAGGAAAAGGTACCTTTGATTGCGAATGAAGATTTATCTGATCTTTAGTAGTAATAATGCTGGCTGCTAATGGTTTTTTTTATTATCGAAAATCAAGTATTAAGGAATCCAGAAAAAAATAAAACCAGATAAAACCCCATCCGCAAACAACGGTAAATCTCTGTAGTGCATCACTGGGTGGGGGAGAGGACCCATATTATGTGTACGTTTCTCTTTATCGAGATATTGTACATGTTCCAGTTGGTGGCGATTTGTCAGCCAATAGCATTTGTGGAATCGATTGTGGTCTGTATGGTGTTCCGTGATTTTTGGGGGCACTTCATCGGGGGCCTGTATCATAATGAATTCTACAAGAACTTGTAACTTGTAAATCAAATTTATTTCAAATGGGAATTAAAAGTGACAAGTCCTTGTAGATTGTTTCGAAGATGATGAGGCGGAGGAGTGACAAATCGTTACGGCAGATTGGTGAAGTGCGATAAAACATTGAATGTAATAGAATATGGTCAGGAAGGACCAGGGCTTGAAGAGGGAACGCATTCTGCCTGTGACTGCACGAACTTGTACATTTTCCGCATTCATCATTCGCAGTGATCGGCATTCACTGATCCAGATGAAAAAACAGTCGCACTGAATGGGATCTAAAAACAGTCAGATTTCCTTTCTACGCTGCATTGTGCTTTGTGCAGTTGCTTTGCAGATGCCGATTTTTAAATTCATTCCTTCTGCTTTTGTCAAGTTGATCGCCAACTGCGGGAGCTGTAAATTCAGACAGAATACCTATCGGCTACCGCACGGAAGCATTTCGCACACACATTATTTTCCTTTCCAGTGTGAAATAGCAGCGCTTGGAATATATACGTATGATACGATTCATCTCGATGATATCTTTTTTTATATATCGGCAGTCATATTAAGCGGGTTAAGCGTTGGAAAACAGCGATCCGCGACGCGGATTTCGCGTAAATGAAGGACTCCCGCACGATTAGGCAAACAATTAAACTTGTCAAATACCACACAATATGAGTATTTTTGGAACCGGTGTGACATGTAGATGCAGGAAATGGAAGTTTGACGCCATTTTGGAATCCAAGATGGCGACCTATTATGGCTATAAAACTGTGAAAACTCGTCAAACATTATGCAATATGGGTATTTCCGGAACTGGTGCGGAATGTAGATGCCAGAAATGTATGTTCGACGCCATTTTGGAATTCAAGATGGTGACTTCCGATATTCTAGAATACTATGAATACTAGATAAATACCATACAATATGGATATTTCCAGAACCGGTGCGGAATTTAGATGCCAGAAATGGGTGTTTGACGCCATTTTGGAATCCAAGATGGCGACTTCTGGTATGCTAGAACACTATAAATACTCATCAAAAACCTTACAATATGGATATTTCCGGAACCGGTGTGGAATGTAGATGCCAGAAATGGATGTTCGATGCCATTTTGAAATCCAAGATGGTAACCTCCGATATGCTAGAACACTATGAATACTCGTCAAATACCATACAATATGGATATTTTTCGAACCGGTGCAGAATGTAGATGCCAGAAATGGATCTTCGACGCCATTTTGGAATACAAGATATTGACTTCCGATGTACTAGAACACTATGAATCTGCAAATACCATACAACATGGATATTTCCGGAAACAGCGTAACTTGTAGAAGTCGGAAATGGATGTTTTAAACCATTTTAGAACTCAAGAAATCTATTAAAATATTAATATTTACGGAGCTAACGTGACTAAACTCGTCAAATGTCATACGATGATGATATATAAGAACTCGGCATGACATTAATAAGTCAAAAAATATACAAACATCTACTCTTCTTCTTCTTCGCATTTCAAGCTTATTGCTTATCGCATATTAGCTTATTTCGTGCTCTCAACTTAGTGTTCTAGATGCACTTCCACAGTTATTAATTGAGCGCTTCCGACCATTTTTGCAGTAGTATAATTGTGTGGCAAGTCCAATCATACTCTATGCCCAGGAAAGTCGAGAAATTTTCCAACCCGAATAATTCCTTGACCAGACCGGGAATCGAACCCAGCCACCTCCAGCATGATCTTGCTTTGTAGCTGCTCCTTATCGACTGAGCTAAGGGAGGCCCCAAACATCTACTCTACTACTTGTTGAACTCAAATAATAGAAGTAATGGAAGGGTGATGATTTAATGAACTTCAAGGCAACGTGCAATCATTTTTAACAAGCATAGAAATAAAAAAAAAACCTAAGTAGAGTAGACTTAGGTTTTTATGTCTCTGCTTGTTAAAAAATGATTGCACGTTGCCTTGAAGTTCATTAAATCATCACCATTCCATTACTTCTATTATTTGAGTTGGTTGGTTTATTTTGATAGTGAGCAAATCTTCTAGGGTGTTTTCACCCAAGGATGTGCGCTGATCTAAAATCGTTAACGCCAGAGCACTGAAAGCACGTTCCACTGATACTTGCATCGATGGAACGGCCTAAATTACAGCAGCTGCTTCAAAGAGATCCTTTTGCATGATTTTCTTCTGTACCCAGTACTCCCAAACGTTGACATGGTGTGGTTGTCGCAATCCAACATCCAACACACTTAACTGTTCTAGAAGCGTTTTGTTGGGGATACGTTTCGGGTCTCCGCTTGAACCTGCTAGACAGTCTCCAAACATGTCCGCTAAAAAACTGTCCAGTTCATCCTGTTGAACAGCTGGCTCAGTAAACGTGGCATGCTGAGTGCAAGGTCTGAAATCCGTGCGAATGTATTTATGATGAATTTCTAAAAGGTAGAAGTTAATAGGTTGACAATTTAATAAAAATAAAATTTATTAAACAATCCTATATGAAAAGGCACTATAGATTCATTCAAATACTCTCATTCTGATAAACAAAAATCATATTGATTCTTGAATGTTGATATTCAAAAACCAAACATTGTTCTTTCAAACCAACATATTATTTTTTAGCATCTAACACACCAACCACTTTGCTCGATGAATGCCGTTCATTGACTGTTTTTTCGGACATTCCCAACCCAAAACGAAAAAAGGAACCTGAATGAAATCAAAATGGGAATGAAACCAGAGCGAAAGGGAGCGACTGTACGGGAGAGGATTTTGAAGAAGAGAAAGTGGGAATGCTTTTTGGTATCTATTCGCTTTACTGTGCATCGGCATGTATGAATGCAAAGCGTAGTGTGGGGGTATTGAATGGTATACAAAGTACCGCACATAAGGGAGTGGTGAAATTGAATTCATACTGCTGCTGCCGTTCGCTAGAAAAAAGGAACGATCAGATGCCCTGGGAAGGACAAAATAAGGTTTTGATGTTTAATGCCATAGCTTCGTATATACTTTTCAAAAATTACATACACATAATAATAAATTTAATAATTAAAAAAAATAAACACGCGCAGTTTATTCCAAGTAAACAAAATCAAATCAAATGTGTCCCGACTGGTCCCACTTATTGTAAATGTCATTAAAATATTAGGGGATACATTTTAAGTAAATTTTATCAAATAACCACAGCACGACCTTCTCCAATTTGCATAAAACTTTGCATAATTGTTTGATGTTGGCAATCATTCATATTTATGCTAAAATTTGGCAATATTGAATCATGAAATTTTTATCAAAATGGATTTTTGAAATTTTTAATGAACCATAGTACAAAATCATCACTTCTAATTGAAATGACAACTGAAACAAACTTGTAGAAAAAATACAATGTTTTTTCTAGGGTATACACATGTTAATCTATCTAGCAGGACACTTTTCACAAAAGTTGATAAAATTATGTTTTTTTTTAATGTACCAACAGCGTACTAAAGCGTACCTTCAAGTATTTTGAACGTACTTTGCAAATTCCTTGTCTGAGGGTGTCCTGCTGAATAGACGGATGATTTTTTGAAAAGCTTCATTAAACCATTCAAAACATTAACCAATGTAATATACGAATAGCGTACCTTCCGAATCTGAGGTTCATTTTTTGAGGAACGATAATTTACCTTACTTACTTATATAATACAATTACCATTAGTAGAAAACGAATTCTACCCGATATAACAATCACTTTAGGAAACCAAATCGTAGAAAAGTGTGATAGTCAGGGATCTAGGTGTTATTTTGGACTCAAAACATACTTTCACAGATCATTAAAGCACAATTATGAACAGAACTAACAACATGCTTGGTTTCATAAAACGTTTCTGTTGTAACTTTCACGATCCGTATACGATAAAAAATAAAAACATTATACATTGCTTATGTAAGGTCGATATTAGAATATTGCAGCATAGTTTGGCCTCCTTTTTCAATCACACACGAAGAAAAAATTGAGTCCGTTCAAAAGCAGTTTCTATTGTATGCACTCCGCAAATTAGGTTGGACTGTATTTCCTCTGCCATCTTACACAGCTCGGTGTATGCTCAAAAATACCCAAACATTAAAAGAGCGTCGTGAATTTGCTATGATTTCATTTGTAAACGATTTCGTACCACATCGCATTGACTCAATAGAACTATTGTCATCCTTAAATGTATATACACCATCTAGGCATTTACGAAATAAAAATATATTTGCTACAAATCGTCATCGTACGAATTATGCCGAATTTGGACCCTTGAACCAAATGATGGACACATATAATAAGCCCTGCGATAACATTGACTTTACAATGACAAAAATTAAAGCTAGAAGTTAGTCCGCATCGTGCTCTCTTGCCGTGCGGATCTATTTGCTTTTTGCTTAAGGAAGTGTTACTACTACCTAAAGCTACAACAAATTTAAACAGCACTTTTCAGTGCTCAACCTGTAAAATTTCTACCT